AAACAAGTTACTGTTCTTTTATTCATTTATTAGACACATATGCATGGGGTAATTTCTATGTGAGATACTGTGCCTGGAGGTGGGTGGGGAGCAATAGTCTTGACTCCTCTCCTCCTGGGGCTTATAACCTCTTTATGACAAGTCACATAGAACCTGATGCTACTATTCAAACTGATGAACATGAACTCTGTGGAGTGCAAAGTATTATTAGGAAACGGTGTTTGGGGCTGAGGGAATAAAACAGACTGCTGTTTGAGAGGCAGGTTCATAGTCTTAATTATTGTTGATATTTATTATAATTTATTAATTGTAAATAAAATACAGTAAATTATAACATAATGAATTATTGTTTTATAATTTATTATAAATTATTTTTGTTATGATAATGTTAAATTAAAATTACAGTTAGCAATTTTATTCCCCAGGTCCACATAATTGTAGTGATAAAAGCAAGATCTTTGCAGTCAGGGATATCTAGATTTGAATCCTTTTCTCCTAGGTCCTAGTTGAGGACACATGAAATATTAAAATAAAAGTGTGTTGAACATAGTGAGAGCTTTACCAGCTGCCCTTAGTGCATTGTAATGAAGCTGGGTGGGGGCGTCTTCAAGATTTCAGGAAAGAATTGCATACTTGTGAATGGAGGATGTGCACCTATTCTGTTCTGGTGTTTGCTGTGCAATTTGCTGAAGTCTTTTTTTAAAAAAAAAAAAAATCTGTAACCACTGTTCCATTTGGTATAAGGCAGGACGGCCCCACTCAATTCCAATCCACGCAGATGGCTCAGCTGCCTCGGGCAAAGACAACTCTACGCTAATATCAGATACAAGCATGTAGAAAGCTGTCAGATCAAGTGACAAGACACAGAGAAGAAACATACGCATGTTTGAATGTCAAGAGTCCAAGTGACAAATATATCTGAGTTTGTGCAATTACATTTTTTTTTCTTACAACAGAGGATGAAAAATAGAGGTCAGGGTTGTCGGTGACTTTAGAGATCATCTGATTCCAGTTTCATTTAACTGATTGCTTCTCTCAGCAAATATTTTTTGGAGACTCTCCTATATGCCAGATATGTGCTGTGTGAGAGGCAGGGTGGGAACACAGCACACCTTCTAGGAATCTGTAGACTTTGGCTGACAGAACTCTGCCCAGGATACTTAAATAATTTGTTGGACTCAAAGAAATTTAAATTTGATTCCTGTTTTTTTCTACATTTTTCAATATGGCATATTTAACTGTGTCTACAGACTTTGCTGGAGCCACATAGCTTACAAGAAAAAGAATTTCTATGTGTAAATAGTACCTACCATATCCATATAAGTCTGGATTCTCAAAGCATGGTTCATGCAGCAGGGCATGCAGGTGGGCTTTACTGAGAGGACAAAGATTCCACGCTCACCCCTGATTTCAAATTTCTGCATCACCCAACTAGAAGAACATGGGCTTCTGAGGATGAATCCCACGTGGCAAAGAAAGCAGCAAGGATTTTTAAAAAATGGCCCCAGAAATTTAAATTAATGAACTAAGTTAACAAAAACAAACACATTTACCTTTCACTGGAATAAAGTCAACTCCTACCTTTTTTCCCCCCCTCTGGTGCCACAGATAATTGCATCCATTATGTGTTTTTAACAGGTGCTGTAAATCAGGGTGCCCACGAGAACACAGCGCTATGGAGGGGTGGGGGAGGGGCGCTCTCCATCTCACAAAGCAAAATACAAAACAAGTGGCAGCCCCAGCTCTCAGGCCCAGCCATTCTCCTCTCCTGCTCTGCACCCGCCTCTCCTAGCCGCCCCTATTTGCTGGGGGTGGGGGGGTGGGGGTTGCACAACAGCCTTTTCCGGGCCCCTACAAATCACAACCCTGTCCTAATTCTTGAGCAGGCGCCCTTTACACTACCCAGCCCCACAGCCTTCAGCATTTGTAACCTCTCTCTTTTCCAGGTTATCATCATCTGTCAGATCTGAAGTTAAACAACAAAAAACATGTCAGGTGAGTGGCGGGGAGAGACACTTGGCTGTTTATGAGAAATATTCCATTACAATCTGACGCAAAATGTTAGGATGCATCTGCCACAGGGCCCGGGCTCCGAGAGGGTCCCGTCTCCGCAGCAAGCTGATTAGTGTGTGGTTCTAACCCATGTTTATCCTCTCTGGCTCCGTGGCAAACGCCCTTGGAAAAACCTGGCTCAGTGGATGCCTGGCCGCCTGGTCCACTCCATTTCATTCAATTAGGATACGCAGTTTGAGACATAATGGGTTTTGGCGAGCTCAATAGACTGATTGGGTTTTATACACATGTACAGAAAGATTTGATTTCCTCTGCGGAATTTATGGCAGGGGAGAAGAGGTAATTAGATTAATTTCTGCTCTGGTTTCTGGGGTTTTCCTTTCTGTTCTCTCTTCTCCTGCCACCCTTTTTTTTTCTTTTTAAATAGACTTTTTTTTTTGGGGGGGGGGGTCTTGCTTGCACGAATGAAAATGAATTTAATAACCGCCAGCAGTTGGTTTGAATTTGGAGCTGGGTTTCACTGTGACTTCTTGTTCATGGCTTCATGCTCTGGGTGGGTTTTAGGGAGCTAATGAGGACAATCTTGTGTCCCTTGGCATGTGGGGCTGTCCATGTGGCTAGGGAGCATTGTGTCTGAGCCCAGGCTTCCTGGAAGGAAACCCACTTTCACGTTTGATAATGAAGTCAAAACCAGAACGTCCACTCCCTTTCTCCACTCAGCATTCATGACTCTTGCCTTTCTTCTCTGATTTCTGTTCTTTCCATATTATCTTCTCATCCCCAGCCCCCTCCAGAGAAAATTTAGCTACAGCAAGAGCAATGGTAAAGCAGGAGGAAAAGACACCATCAGAAGACTGTCAGCCACAATGCAAAGGATGGAGATTGAGTTTGCTGCTTTGCCACTGCGTTCCCTTCTCCATTCCAAAGCCAAGGTCCTTTATCCATCCGCAGCTTTTTAACGAAGAACTTCCTTCGTTAAACTAAAGAGACAACGAAGACCCCTGAGAGACTTAAAAATTCAATGGAAAAAGTGAAAAAACACTGAACACTTAACTTCTCTCCCAAAGGACCCGAGAGCCTGCCAGTTCCCCAGCAACACCAGAGCTAAGCATTTTCCCAGCGTCGACCTTAAATCCTTTTTTTGTTTTTTCTCTTTTAAAGTGTGTTTACAATTGACCATTATGGGAAAGATGACGGATGTAGCCTGGCCCCGTTTAAAATAATAAGACTAATCGGGACACAGTTTCTTGCCCGCAGACTCTTCCTAAAAGCCTGTAGGCAGAACAAAGGGTTGGAGAGCCCAGAATTTTCACTAGTTAAGTGCAATCAGCCGCTGATCTGCCCCTCTCCCCCACCCCCACCGAGCCACTGCTAGAACCACTCAGCCTCCTGCGGACAAGCGCTGACTTCCAGAGCTGAATACCTCCACCTTCAAGCAACCAGAAGAGTCCATTTCTTGTTCCAGTCCTGTCAGCAGCGCTGAAGAATGTGTGGATCCCCTGATCCATGGGAACAAGGCCATTTTAGATCCGGAGAACGAAGAACAGGAAGCTATTCCTTCCTGAACCCCCAGCCCCAAGTTCTAAAGGGGGCTAGTGGAAGAGGAGCCCTCTGTGCCCCCACCATTTCTGATACATTCTGTCTCACATTCGTTTTTATCTTCCTGTGCAGACAACGAGGTCCATCCAACTGGGTTTTCTCTACAAAAATTTATTGCATTTCTTTGAACTAAATGCTACTGTGTATACATCACTCCTGGCAGGTAGTGGCTGAGGGCTCAGGCAAGGGGGTGGGCTTGTGAGGCAGCCTGGTGGAGCTGGGATAAAACCTGATGTGTAATCTCAGGTTCCTACACTACCTTTGCAGCTGCTGTGGTTCCCACGCACTCTTTTTACCTACTCTGGAGCAAGAACCATACAATTTTGATCCAGATTCTCTCCCTGAGAGAGCAGTGCTTTAAGATGGACAAGCAGTGTGTAGATGGACTAGCCTAGAGCTGATAATTTCCTCTGTTCCCCATGAGGACTCTGCCAGGGGAGAGTGTAGTTCAGTGGCAGAGCACTTGCCTAGCATGCAATTGTGAGGCTCTGGGTTCCATCCTGGGGTGTGTGTGTGGGGGGGGACAGACGACAGAGGTACGGTTCATTTAGCCCTGTTTCTGCCTGACTTGGTTGCTCACCAAGGCCCCAGAGTCCAACTCCACCAGGACACGTCACTATTGAGGACTCAGTCTCTTTGGCCATTGTCATCATCCTTGGAGACATGTTGCCAGTTCTAACTAAACTTTTCCCAGCCCTCATCTGAGGTTGGTTGGCAGCCGAATTCAGGAGATAGGTGAAGTGGGTTGATTTAGTCCTTGCTGTGGAATTCTGATTAGATTGAGAAAGGAAAATTCCCCTGACCTGGGAAGCAATGGTCAGGCAGTGAAACTGACCTTCACAGCACTAACCAGAGATAAACCTCTTGGCATAAAACAGCTCCACACACACACACTGATATAAGACTCGGGTGCGAAATAAGACATTATAACTGACCATCTGCAGCTGACACTGTGGAGCTCATCAGAATAAAATTGAATGAGCCAGAGAGAAATCCACCTGCCAGCTAAAGCTAGCACACAGCTAACCACAGCAAGGGGCTGGAGCAGGGGTCCCTGGAGGGCTGCAGGGTGGACAGAGGAGGAGACCCGGGTCTCTGGGAGTTGAGGATACCTGGCCTGAGCCACTGCAGGGAGGGGAACTTGGCTGGGGAGGAGGGTGTCCAGTGCTTTTTGATTTACAACCACCACGCCCCAAGCGACCCCATAAATTTGGGAGCCGTTTTCACCAAAACCGTGAGTTATGATTTTTCAAATAAATACATTTCCCAATCAGACAGGGTTCTGTTTAGGTTGAACGCTTCCCGAAGCAGACATCTCTCTGTGCAGAAAATACACAGAGGAGGGAGAGAAGCCTGGATGAAGCTCAGACGACATAAAAACTTGTGTAAACACGTTGTCATTTACAGACTACGGAAGAGAAAGGGAATGGGGGGAGGAAGGCAGAAAAAGAGGGGAAAAAAACATACATGTTTAATTCTCCCTTGAATTCTCTCGTCCCAGCCCGGAGGGAAGATTCGGAAAATTTAATATTCTTTTTCCACGAGTTTGATTTATGTTACTCATTAGACAAAGGGCAGCAGAAGGTTTACCTTAAATAGGTTTTGTATTTTTACGGTTGTTACAACCTAAGAATGGACAGGTCTCCCCATCCCCCGGCACATCCATATGCACAGCACCCTCTCCTAATTTTTCCTTAGCTAAGGAAGAGTGTGGCAGAGAAACTAAAGTGGATTACATCTGCAGTGGAGTGTTTTGGATTTCTAGCTGTGAGCCCCTGGGCAGGTCCCTTCCCATCATCTGGGCCTTGATTTTGCCACCTGTAAAACAAGGGAATAAGACCAAGAATCAGAGGCTGGATTGCACAGAAAAGCATTCACACACAATTATGTGCACAACTACAAGAAGCCCAGGAAGCCCCAAGCTAATAAGTAAAAGTCACTTGCTACTGGAACCCACTTGCCTGGACCGCTCCTTATCCCAGAAGAGGAGGTAACAAGGGGAGAGAGAGGCTGCCACCGGCCCAACCACTTCCCCTGGAGGTCTGCAATAGCGCATCTCCTCCACTCATTGGTTGTGTGCTCTTGGGGAAGTTCCTTCCCATCTAAATGCAGAAATTGGTCCTAACAGACCTTTCGGTAGACTTGTTGCTTTCGGGTACCAGCAAAGGCCAGGAGGCTTCACATTCTAAGAGCTTCCTGGAGAAATCGATTCCCTACCCCTCTCTCTCTTCCCGCCCCCGACTATCCTTCAGCTCCAGGGAACAAACCCGGTCACACTGGAAAGTCCTAGACCCTCTTTAGATACAGCAGAGAACTGTTTAAGGGATTTGTGCGCTCAAACTGCGGGGTAAATGGCCCGCGGGCTGATTTATGGCGCGTTACTCCGCGACGCGATTCCCCAAGACAGCGGGAATATTTTACACCGCGCTAATATAAACAGGCGGCCGGCCGGGTCCTTTTTATGGAGTTCCTGTAATTACCCGGGCCCTGACAGGTCTTTGATTTACTGCCCTATTTAGATAAGGGGTCCGGTGCGGGGATTGCCCGTGGCGTCAAGGTCACGGGACGTGGCGGGGAGAAGGTTTTGCGGTAGGCGCCGGGGTGCAGGCTCCCCTGGACTGCCAGTCAGGAAGATGGGGTGAGGGAAGAGCCCGGCGGGGTAGGACAGGGACCCTGCGGACATCTGGAGCGTCCGTCCGAGGTACTGCCTATCCAACTGTAGATGAGGAACTGAGTCCTGGGGGTAGCAATAACTCCCCTCAAAATCATTTAGCAAAGGAAATGGGGCGGGGGCAGCGTGCGGAGTGGGGATCTGTAACTGGAATTGGGGTCTCCAGCAATAGAATCCTCATACCTGGTGATACTCTCCTCTCCTCCACCACCAGCCTTATTTATGGCAACTGGATTCTGTAGAGTTGTCCGAAAAGGGAAGGACCCCGATTTGGTCAGAACAGAGCAGTGCAAGAGGAATCCAAGGGTCTGGCCTCTTCTTCCTGTCCAGGTTTTGCAGTGGTATGGTGGCATGTAACTCCATTTCTCCCCCTGTGAAATTAATATTCCTAAAAATAGACCCAACATTTTTGCAGGGTTATGGTTACCCCTCTAAGAGTCTCCTCTATATTATTATTTCACTTAATTTTACACTGGCCCTCCGGGGTGGGTATTATCATCCTCCCAATTTACAGAGGGGGAAACAGACTCCAAAGGTCCGTAGAGAGGAATGACAGTGCCCCTTCTCAACATAGGTGGGCTGGGTCCCATTGCAAGACTGTCCTAAGCACTCTAACACAATCTTCAACCTCTATAAGCTCAAACTCTCTTGGGGTGAGTGTTCCTGCCTGGCCTCCACCTGCACAACTTGCGAAGCCTTCCTTGGAAAGCTGTAGGCACTCTCTAGGTGAGCAAGACAGGTTAAGGAAAGGGGCACTGCAGTGGAGTGTGGAACTGGCTAGGACCCCCAGAATCCTTAGCACCCCATGCTTGCTCTGTAGAGGTGGACTGAAGGAGAGTGGAGTCCCTTCTCCCTTTGGGGCCCAGAAGTGGAGAACTAGGTCAGGGTGCAAGGGGAATCAGAGTAGGCCCTGTGCAACAGTGGGGAGCTGGGGTCCAGACTGTCAATTCTAAACCCATTTTCTGCAGATGGGGAAACTGAGGCACAGAGCTGGAAAGGAACAGAGTGAGGTGCAGATAGTGCTGGAACTAAACTGGAAGCCACATCTTTTGCCTGTCAACCTAAAGCATGTTTGGCTAAACTCCTGGTTCCAGACCTTCCCTTATCCTATAGCCTGAGGCAGAGGGAGAGAACACCTTCGCCAGGTCCTTATCCTAGGAGTTCAGCTGCACTCCTCACACACCCGAGCCTGACTGGTGTTAGAAGCACTCTGGAAGGCTGTGTCTCCCCGGGGCCTAGACAACTTTCTGTCTCTCTGGCAGTTCAGACTGCTGGGGGGCCATCCTTCTCCCAGTCCTAACAGATCCCTCCGGGCTACACTCCAGTGGGGCCACTGCAGTATAGCTCTCCAAGGCATTGGTGGCCAGAGACAACCTGCTCTTTAACACTCACAAGATGGTTTCAGGCAGTCTTGGGGCCCTCAAGGGGTCTCTGTGACTGGGGCCCTTCATTTAGTACTGATAAGGCATTCCCCACTAGACTAACCAGACCTGATATGTGAAAGTTGAATGCAGCCATGAGTAAGGGGGTTAGATGGGAGAACTATGAGTTTGCATGTGGATAGTAGCTGTTCTTATGTGTCAATCATTGTGCGTGCCTTCATAATGTGCATACTATTGAACAACTTCATTTTGAGGCTTGTGCTGTGACTACATAGGTAAGGCTGAGGATATATATCAAATTGAATTTGTGGGATCTTATATGTCTGTGTTAACGTACCAATAGGTGAGGACGTCCATTTGCAAGCACCTGTGCACATATAGTAATGTATGATTTTTGCATGCTTTTTGTTTAGGCTAGATCTCCCTCTGGCAGGCATTAAATCCAATTTGAGGTACTGTGTGTATTGCTGTGAAAATGCCCAAATGCCAGTGAGGTTGCGAGCCCGCGTGCACGTACAAGCGCAGGTATCATGGTAGGGCCTCCCGTGATAATAGGGGCAGCTGCTGAAGATCGTGTTGGGGTTAGGACAAACACTGAGAGTGTTTTCCATAGTAATTACTTTCTCTACCGGCATAACCTTACTCTAGAGCGCCTCCAGGCCGGGGAGGCGCGGGATCCCGCGGAGCCGCCGCCGCTGGATCGGGCGCCCGGCGCTCCCTCCCTGCGAGCCTCCGGCTCCGCGCTCGGCCCAACCCCAGCGCTGCTGGCGCCAGGCGCCGGGAAAGCGGCGGGTTTCCAGCCAGCCTCGGGCAGGAAACCAGGACCTCCCTCCGCCGCTCCCCCACCACCTCCTGCACCTCTAGGGCCCACAACCACATTGAGCTCCCACAGGTGAACCCATGGGCTCAGACCTAAGTGATTGTCCCCTCTTTCCTCAAATAAATAAACATTTAGAACCAAGGTACCCACAGTACGTCAATACTCACGCATTCCTAGGATTTTACACGTTATGTCTGTCACTCACAAGTACACATCATGCTCAAGACGTGTTTCCACCTACCCACTCATCCTTGGGCCTTCCGGAGGAATCCATCATCCTGTCTGGACCTCACTTTCCCTTTTTGTACAAAAGAAAGTTGGCTTTTCTCTCTCTGCCTTTGGACTAGTAACGGTGCCAGGCACATCGCAGGCATCAATAAACCATTTTTGAGTGAATGGATAAGTAATGAATTTGCCCTCTAAAAACAGCACTCAGGATAATCTCCTTTCGCCCTTACCTTGGTATCCTGATTGAGAGAAAGGCACATTTGTCTACTCGGCCTAGGGAAGGGGCTTGGCTGGAAAGGGCTGAGGGGTTAGAGGGCCTCGGTTTCCTCTTCTAGGAAGCCATTGTAATACAAGGTTAGACCTACGCTTCGCAACCCGCAGCCCGAAGCACTGCCACTGTGGGATTACCAGGTTCCCACGGGAGCGGGAGGAAAGCCCCAGTGGAGAAAATCAGACAGGCAGTCAAGGGCCCTGGTCCTAGGGGGAAGTTGCAGAGGTTGTGCACTTTGCTCCACGGCTCAGTGCGGGTGGGTCGAAAGCCTCCGGGATGCTGTGCAGGTCGAGTTTCCCTCGGCATATTTTTCGCGGAAGGCTGGTTTCTAGCGGTGTGAACTTGGGTGACAGGGTATTTAGAGACTCAAACATTCTCAAGGGGTGACGATCTAGGTAGAGTGGCCTAGCATAATTTTGCTCCCGGCCCTCTGCGCGACTACGGGGGAGAAACCAGGAGAGTCCTAGCAGCGTCTTGCGGATTACACGCCCTAGGGCGAAGGCGGTCTCCAGGAGGCTGCCTCTGCCACGGCCTGGCCTGCCGGCTTTAGACGGAATCAGGCGCCTGCGAGGCGAGAAGAGCAGATTTCAGGCCCTCGAGCCCGGAACAAACTGGTAAATGCCCTGGGCTTGACGTCCGTTCCTTCTTCCCGTCGCCCATTCCCACCGCAGCTTCAGTAACGCTTCTCGGTGGGAAGCAGGCTTCAGGTCTGCCGGTGACTGGGCGAGAACTGGCCGTCTGGTCCAACCGCGGATGCAAGATCGACTCCCGGTCCCACCAGACAGGGCAGATGATTAAATGACCGGGGTGAGAGGGTGGGGTGGGGTGGGGGAGGAAGATGTTAAGGAAAAAACGTTAGGAAACTATCCTGCCTCCCACCGCGCATTCCCTTCTTTGGATTCCCCTGCCAGGCAGAGCAGATGGAGCTGGGGACCGGGATCCCTTGCAACTCCTATTCTGATTTCCCGAGAGTCTAGAAACAAGAACAATCCCTTCACCCCCATCCTGTCTCAGTTTCACTATCTGTAAAATCAAGGGGAGCCCTTCTTTTCCTTCCAAGACTCCAGTTTCCTTTCCTTGGACCCACAAGTTGGGGGTGGCAGCAGGTTGGCCAGCCTGCCTCAAGTACGTAGCCCCCGCCTTCCCAGCCCGGGAATCGGCGGGCAGGGGAGGGACGGAGGCGTGGCCGGTTCCCTGTCCCTGCAGGCCGCCTGGAGTCAGTGGCGTTAGCCTAGCAAAACCTGGGACGTCCAACCCCCCCCCCCCCCTTCCTCCTCTCCGCCCCCCTGCTATTGGCTCCAGGGAGAGGTTGACATCAAAGCCACGCCTTATATAAGCCAGATCCTGAAGGGGAGTCCGGAGAAGGGTTAAATCGGTCTTTGGGCATCGGCATCCTAGTCCGCGACAGAAACTTGCACGAAGGCAGCAGGCTACGTGTGTCATCTTCAACCTTGCTCAGGACTCTCGCAAAGCCGGCGCCCAGCAGTGCGCGGCCCGGGAGCCCACGGGTGGCCCCGGTCCTCTTTGGGGCACATGGGGCGGCGCTAATCCGGCTAGCGGTTCAGGCCAGGAGCCTCTCCAACATGAACCTCGTGGGCAGCTACGCACACCATCACCACCATCACCACCCACACCCGGCGCACCCCATGCTCCACGAGCCCTTCCTCTTTGGCCCGGCCTCGCGCTGTCACCAGGAGCGACCTTATTTCCAAAGCTGGCTGCTGAGCCCTGCTGACGCTGCCCCGGACTTCTCTGCGGGAGGGCCACCACCAACAGCCGCTGTGGCTACTGCCGCCTACGGTCCGGACGCCAGACAGGGTCAGAGCCCCGGGCGCCTGGAGGCGCTCGGCGGCCGCCTGGGCCGGCGGAAAGGCTCGGGACCCAAGAAGGAGAGGAGACGCACAGAGAGCATTAATAGCGCGTTCGCTGAGCTGCGGGAGTGCATCCCCAACGTGCCGGCGGACACCAAGCTCTCCAAGATCAAGACTCTGCGCCTGGCCACCAGCTACATCGCCTACTTGATGGACGTACTGGCCAAGGATGCACAGGCTGGCGACCCCGAAGCCTTCAAGGCTGAACTCAAGAAGGTGGATGGTAGCCGCGAGAGCAAGCGGAAAAGGGAGCTGGTGAGTACTGGGGCCTGTAAGCTTCCAGCCAGGGGTGCAGTCTGCGTGAGCATCGCCAGCTCTGCAAGAAACCGGAGTTATTTTGTGTGTGAGATTTTGAAAAGCTATGGAGTTTTCTCACATAGTTACAGTGTGTGATTGTGTGTGTGCAGAGAGGCAGATTCATAATTGAATTCAATTGTAATGTGGGTTGGTGTTTGTTAAGACTGAGTGAATGAAGAATCTTAAGCCTTTTGGTTAGGATCTTAGGGCTTTCTTTAAAACTCCTTTGAAAGCCTTGGATTCCAAGAGACTGCACACACTATATATTGCACTTACAGTTTGGAGGAGACCTGATCCATCCCTGGGTTCTTCTGGAAGCCAGGTTAAGATTGCATGAAAAGTTCATTAATTTGCTTTGAGTCTGAATATATGCATTTGGCCTCAGTTTCTGCTTTCAAACAGCCTTTGATGGAGAGGTTAAACTACTTCCATCACTGGATAGAAAAGGGAAACAGGCCCATAGTAGGGCAAAACACGAAAATCTGCTACAAGAGAGTAAGTAAGAAGTGGAGGTGAGGGGCTGGAGTTGAGGCTCAGAGATAGAGCGCTCCCCTAGCACATGCGAGACGCTAGGTTAGATCCTCAGCACCACATAAAAATAAATAAAATAAAGGTATTGTGTCTAACTACAACTAGAAAAAATATATATATATATATTTTTTTTAAAAAAAGAATTGGAGGTGAGGTAAAAGAGGTCAGGCTTTCAACTCCTGGTTCAGAACCCACCAGTTCCACTCCCCATGGGTTGGTTTTAGAGCGCAACCTCAATGGCTTTGTATATAAACAAGCAGGAGCTACTTTTTGGCTTTGGAGGTCATAATCCCTACTACGTCTTTCTGGATCCTCTCCAGTTAGAGGAATACATTTTGGTGCCCAGTTTCCCTGCCCAGGGCTGCAGGACCTCTAGGCATGGTGTTATTCAGGTTGGCGAAGGAGTTCTCCAGGTTGGTGCGCTCAGGCCCAGTTTTATCTGATCCAAGGGGCCTGTGGGTCACGGGGAAAAGACAGTAGTCATCAAATCTCAGCCGATGCCCTGGGTTGGAGGAGATGCAGGCTTTAAGGGGGTTCCTCATTGCAAGTAGTTATTGGGTGGATCCACACTGTCCCCCCCACAACCCGCCCTCCGCCGCACAGCCTCCTGGACGTTGCACCGTTGGGTGCCCTATTACGGAAGCCGGGAAGGAAGCTCCGGGTCAGGCCGGCTCCTAGCCTTCTGAGGCTTCCGCCACCAGTTCTGGCGGATCCAACCCTGCATCCAAACCAGATGGTAAATCCTGTTAGCAAGCCGGCGGGTCGTGTAGGTAGCTGGGGAAAGTGGATTCCCACCCCTCCCATCCCAATCCCCTGAGGTCTCCCTTAGGCGCCACAAAGCCAAGTCAGCACAAATGCGTTCCACCAGACGCCGAGAATTCTGGTTACCAAACCTCCTGCAGCTGCCGGTCCTGTCCCGGATCCCAGGAACTTGGCGCATTAAGGCAAATTTATGGGCCTGTTTGCCTATTTTGCAAACAGAAATCCGTCACTTATTTAAAGACTCCCAGTTACTGCTCTGGACACCTTTCCCCTCACCCCACCCACTCCTCGCCGGTGATCGGAGCAGAACCGTCTAAACCTGTCTCTTTCACCTCTCTTCTTGTGTGTGTCCTTTGGCAGCCGCAGCACGAAGGCTTTCCTCCTGCCCTGGGCCCAGGTGAGAAGAGGATTAAAGGGCGCACCGGCTGGCCGCAGCAAGTCTGGGCGCTGGAGTTAAACCAGTGAGCCGAGGACCTGGCCACGGCTGGGCAACCCCGGAGCCCCGGGAGGAGATGAAGGCGGCGGCCAAGGCCGGGCTCTGGGTTCCTGCGACTTGTGAGAGAGCGTTGCGCAGAACCTCTGAGAGCGCTGGCGGGTAGCGGGCTGCAACCACACACTTGGATCGCACGTGCAATGTCATTTGAAATTGTTTTAAATACATTAAGAGAAAGAAATTTATATATATCCACCTCCTTTAACCGAGGGAGGCTTTTGGAGGCACGATGCAGGAGGGAGGGACTGCGGAACCCAAGTGCCTAAAGACACACCCTTCCAACCCTTCTGGGTCGAATTTAGAACCCCCAACGCCATCCTCAACTCCGCCATCTGGCTTTTTCTCTTGTTCCCCTCTCCGCTTTGTGCCACCCCAGACTCCTTCTTCTCCAAGTAAAATGCAATAAGAGGAATCCATAGTTTTCTTCCAGGGAACGAGAACCGAAAGCAGGAAGGTGGAGGGCTGCCTTTTGTCGTTCCCCTTTAAACAGCAGTGTTTCACTTTTCTTTTTGTTGCTGTACATCCTACGTAGTTCCAAGGGGAACTCTCCCTCTTTCTCTCTTTTTCTTCCTTTCTTTTTTTACCCCTTTCCTTTCTCTTTTTTTTTCTAAATAAAAATTTCCCCCATGTTGCAAAGTTTTTATATATTTAAACTACCTATCATGCCTGTTGCACTCAGGTGTTCGTTATCTCCCCATCCCCATCCCTTTTCTACCTCAGATCTGTATGACCACTCACTGCCCCTCCCTTTGCCAAAGCAGTATCTATGCTCTTGAATAATAAAAAAGTTTTCAGTAATTCTCGGAAGTCTGCGTGATGTTTCAGCCTGGAGCCAAGCCTGCTCCCGCTTCTCCTCCTTTGATAATCACCAAACCAAACTGCAAATCAAGTTGAGGGAAGGAGGCAGATAAAGGATTTCTTTCTGGAGCGAAGAGTAAAATTCTTAGACTACACAACAACAGGACTGGTTGACTTACCTGAACCAGGAGAATGGGAAGCGGGGGAAATTCTGACTTTTAAACTCAAGAGTTTTATCTGGGTGGATATTCACAGGTTAGTATGCACACTCGTGTCTGCAGATTGTGGTTTGGTGGTTTTCTTTGGGTGGAGTTAGCAGGAGGGGAAGAGGGTCTATCACACAAACCAGGGTTGTCTCCACCAGAGTAGCTTGAAAGAGGGAAATTTTCAGAGAATTCATTCATGTATGTGAAATTCTGAACATATAGGTGTACATTTTTCGGCAATGTATACGGAGCCGGTGTCTGTGCAGGTCCTGTGAGGGTCGCTTAGCACAGCTCCAAGCACGCATCGTCCCGTTGTAGCAGCTATGTGAATCAAATAAGCCGGGGTTATGGTTAAACCTAGTCATTTATCTTTTTCTCCAGCATCAGAGCGTATGGATTTTGTGCAAAGTGTTGGGGTGCGTGTGCTGCGGGCACTTGTGCGCGCGAGCCGGTCTCTGAGGCCCCACCTGCGCACCATTTCTGGGTGTGAATAAATGCAGGCACAATTGCCTAAAAGCGCGCTTGCGAGTTGGGCTAAACTGGGGCCGGCAGACGCAGGTGTTTACACGCCCACGAATAATAACATAAATAATAATGTACGATTAGTTTTATTTGCATGCAGCCGTGTCCCCTAACAGCTGCCACGCGTGTCCCAGGGGCTCAGGGCTCACTGCTGGTGCGGACCTCGGTTCTTCCGCGCTCACTGCGAAGGAGGCGGGAAGACGCGCACAGCTGTCCTGGCACTTTCGCGCTGTGCACCCGAGCTTGCTCAGGCTCTCGGCTTTGGGACAGACAAGGAGACCCCGGGCAGCTGCAGGGCAGGGCTATGCGGGGCACCAGGCGTGGCCCAGTTGCCTCGAACCGGCAGCGGGGTGAATATGGGGCCCCATTAGTCTTGGCTGTAAACACCGTGGCAGGGGCTCGGAGGCCACGCGGGCCTTTCCGGAAGCGAAGGAGTTAATAAAAGGTGTTTTATGGACGCGAGGAAATGTGGGGGAGGTGTGAGCTTCTCCCCACGCTCGCCCCCCTACTTTTTTCTTTTTTTCCCCCTCGCCACCCGCCGCCAGATCAAACAGACCAGCGATTTAACTAGGGCAACACCTCGCCATAATGAGCCGGCGACGCGCCCCTCCCCCGGCCTCAGTGCGGGCCGGAGGCCCCAGGCCCTCAGCGAGGAGAAGAAAGAAAAACCAAGTTTTTTTTTTTTTTCTTTTATTATTATTATTTTCCTCCCAAGAGCTGGGAATCCTTCTGGAAATTCTAGCACGGGCTTGGGGAAACCAGGGTCCAGGGAGAGAGATCATTGC